CTTAAAACAGATGCACATTTTAATGTAACTAGCCTTAGGGTACGCGCTTCGTGCGCGCGTATCTATGTGTATATAATTTAAAAATTTACAACAATATTTTTGAATAATATATTTGAGTTATAAAATAAAATTATATTACAAAATGTAACTTTCAGAAAATGATAGAATATTGATCCTAATTAGCTAGATTGTCTAATATGAAATTTATTTTTGAAGGGTAAAAATGTCGATCAATGCTTCGCGAAGGGCGCCCTTTTAGAGTACACTCTTAGCATGTCTACCCATATTTGACATTTAATTCTCATGTGTCATTTTGAAAGTATTTATTGAAGTTGATATTGAGCTAAAGAGTATTATAATTATGGATAATGCCTTAGTTTATATCTAATTATAGTATTTAATAAAACGTGTATTTACATATTAGTACATAAAATTTATAGAAGGAATGTTAGATTAAACAGTAATGGACATATTATTATATACTCCAAAAAATCAAACATATTTTTTTTCACAAAAAGTATTTTTTTTTATGTCTTATTAAGATAGAATTAATTGCTTATAATTCTACAAGTAATTTAAACATACAACAAATAATAACTACTTTTTACTTATTCTTTAACTTAAATTCTCGAGAAAAAGTCTTATTTAGTGATAAAAGACGTAGAAAAAGTCTTATCTAATGATAAAAGACGTCCAATATCAAACAAATGGTTAATGTTATCATCTATTATATCCGTATTTCAATTAGAAATTGATAACTTAATTACCTTTTGTTTGTCTTACTTTAATAACAAATTTCAATATCAAAAATACGTCTTTGAAAGTGCATGTCAAGATTGTGCATATTTAGTTTTTATCGGATGCAAAATATAGTACCATATTTATAAGTAGAAATACGTTGATTTTGAATTCCTACCTAGTTCAAATATGGAAAATATTATTAACAAAAGTCCTTAAATTAGGAAAATAACTAAATAGTTATTCCTAACTATTAGACATTTAATTAAATGTTATTCCTAAATATTAGGAAAACAATTTGATATGACTATTTTGTCCAGTATGAACTCCATTTTTAAAGGGTAAAAAAGGCGAACGACATTTTATTAAGGGCTTTCGTGCTTTTAATATATTATATTATATATACTAGTTATAAGGTACGCGCTTTGCACGTGTACCTTAGTTTAATAAGTATAAACTTAAAAAAAATCACATAATATATTAATCTATGTATTTTTTCCGTTCAATTACTATGTGTCATTACAAATGTATTTCTAAAATTTGATATTGAGTTTTTTATAATGCTTGATTGTCAATAGTTTATTCTTTTATAAGACTATTGTTGGAGCAGTAGCGCATCTATTAATGATTTCAACATGTAATAGGCAACTTAATTCCTAGAAGTTTTAGGAAAAGACATAATTAATTTGCTAAGTTTACATAATTTATAGGTCTTTTCGTCCACAAGAATTTGATTTATCAAATTAAATAAAAGAGGTAGAAGAATGAGAATGAATAAGTTTCATAATGATACTTGTAAAATAAAAGAGTTTTTCTATTGTAATAAAAACTATGGCACATAAGCAGACAAAGAAAACTACAGAAAAGATATAATTCAGAAGTGATTCATCTACTACTTACAAAAGAATTGTCAAAATACTTAATAGCTCCATGGTCTTCAATGCTTCGTTCATTTAAATTCCAAAACCTTTTATCAATTCATGAAGGTCCAAACGATGTGTCTGATTTTTGTGTAACAAAATTAATTGAAGGGGTAAGGGAATACTAAGCCATCTAAGATATGCAAATATCTAACTGGCTCCTTCTAGTTGGACGATGTTATAATTGACAACAAGTTGAAAGCCAAGGAGATATATATGTCATTATCCTATGTTTGTTAAGTTTGGGTAGAAATTGTTAAATGCAACATTAGACGAATTCAACAGTATTCATGTCCACAAATTCTTTTATTTCTGAACAAATTTGTGGAGAAAGCCGCAGACAATATGAACCATATTTGTGGAGAAAGCACACAATTGCTCATCTATCGATTTTTTTAGCTATTTTACATTTAAAATCTTTCCTTTCATTTAAATTCAAATCTTTTTAAAATCTTTCTTTAAGTATGCAATTAACTCATTATGTATTGTTGTCCTTCTATTAGAAAACTCTTACCCTTATTTTTAGGGTTTTCATATCGTTTCAATATTAAGTTGAATTAATTTCGAATTCCTAAATATTAGGGAGATAATAAAATAATTAATTTTAAATATTAAAAAAATAATTTAAGTGACTATTTTGTCTAGTGTGGAATCTATTTTTAAAGGGTAAAAAAGACGAACGACATTTTGCTAAGGGCCTTCGTGCTTTTAATATAGTATATATATATAGAGAGATGTGTACACTTTCAAAAATAAGATTATTGATGAATATTTCAAAAGTGAAATACAGTTTAAGATACAAAATAAAAAAATTTAACCTGCGTATGCGGTCTGTACAAATTATTTTGACTTGCTTGTCGCTAAGTTTTCTTTACCTTTTCTACATTTAAAAAAAATATTAAAAATAAAAATAGATAATAGCACTTTTGGTCCCTAATTATATTAAACTCCGATTTTGGTCTTTGTGATGTATGGTTACGCACAATAACCTTCAATTAATTGTAATGTGCACTTTTGATCCCCATGGTTGCGAACTTTCACAAGTTTAATGAATTATTGACTGTTAAACTATTTAATTATCCATGTATTATGTTAAATTTGTGTTGTTACTCTACATTTTTTATAAGATATTTAGCTCTACAAATTGTCTAAATATAAGATATTTCCTCTATAAAGGGACCAAAAGTACACACTTGAATTAATCAAAGATTAAATGTGATTAGCCAAATAATATTACAAGGATCAAAATCAGAACTCATCAATAACGGGGTATCACGTCTTACTATATAAAATAAAAAAACCTTCTGATCTGGTCTTTGATTTGCTCTTCTGTACGAGTTAGAATGCTAGACGCTTACACACTCGCGTTCTTGAACTGCCTCATTAGTTCTTAATTAATATTTATTAAGAGATGCTGACTAATCTTCTTATTTGGTTTTTATGACCAGTCTTCCTAAGATATAAATGGTATATTTACCGAACCCTGAAGAATAAATTGTGTAATGACTGGCCTACTGCTGTGTTCAACACATGAAAGACGAACTCTTTTTTTAAGAAATCATTTTCATATACTCTTTCTACATCTACAAAGTGAGTTGTAGATTTTTCCTTCTTTGACTTCAGAAAATTATTACCACACTCACATTCTCATATTCATGCATGTGTTAAAAACAAACTTTCTCGGAAATTACTCGGCCATCTAATTAAATTAAAAGTTGGGAAAATGTTTCAACCACCAACCGTTAAACTGATGCAGACAAGTGATCTCAAATTCAGTTTGAAGCTAATTTTGGCCATTTGGCAGCAGATTTCTAGGCAAAAGATGGAGCCTGTGGAAACAGCCAACTTATGCAGAAGTTGAAGTTCCTTTTCGTTTAGTAACTATCGACAGATCAAGATTTGCCACAGATTTTCCTCTTTTAGATTCTGAAGAGCAAAGTACTACTTCCTTGCTTTAATTAGTGCATGTGAAAGTGTCTGATTAGGCATGAAATTTTTTTTTTTTTAAAAAAAAACTTTTAGAGTGTATGGTCTTTAATAAATTATAGTAATATTTTTGTGGCAATAAAATCATGTTATTAAAAATAAAAATAAGAAGTTTAAAATAAAAAATTTTAAACATAAAAAGTGTCGTTTTTCTTGACTAAAAGTGCCACAAACAGATGAAATAATTGTTCAGCCAGATTCTGAAACTTGACAGAGATTTAAACGGATGTACATTCTTATTCATGCAATAAAATTCGGTCCTAACAAGCTCAACAAGGAGTTTATCTAGGAAAAAAACCGTCAAATATTCATTCATATAATTTTTTTTCTTTTTTGTCATTTACTAGAGGTACAGCGTAATGCTTTCTTTGCTTCTTTTCCCTGAGCAGATTGTTTTCTTGGAAAGAACAAAATAATGCAATTTTATTTTACATTATGCACTTAATGTTCGCACCAAATTAAATAAATTAAATTCTTAGGAGAATTAATTACATAATTGAGGTGAAAATATATATTAAGTTGCTATTCTTAAAGGATAAAGATTTATATAAAATTTATATGTCATACATTTATTAGATTTGTATAAATATTTGGTGTGTAAAACTTTTCCCTTATTACATCCATAAAAACCGCTAACAATCAAACAGAACTAAGAATGGAAAGTGAAAAAAGAGGGAGAAGAAAGAAAAGAAGTAGCCTGGAAATAGGACTTTAGGTGGAAGAGATAGAGACTCATCCATCACTCCCAATTTAATACTCCCAACAAAAAAGACATAAAAGCAAACATCATCACTTTGGTTGCCACACAACATTTTTTTTTAAAGAATATTACATAATCATAATTCATACTTCCTCCTCGCCACTTTAAGTAATTTTTTTTGACCCTTTTTTGTGATCCACAATAATTAATTTTTTTATATATCAAAAAAGAATTAATTTTTTTTTTCAAAGTTGTTATTAGAGTAAAGAGCGTAGAAGTAGTTTGTTATATTTTCAGTGAGCAAATTAAGATTAATATGGTCTACACTTAAAGTGGACCGCTTACGTATTATATTGGGATATTATCACTTTTAGCTCGCGCCAGAAACTATTTACATCTAATAGCTGAAAAAGTGTATAAAATTTGTATAATTTTTTGTATATATATATATAAAAAAAAAAGATATACAAATTTTATATATTTTTTTGGCTATTACTTTTACAGCGGGTATATAATGTGATATTCCCTATTATTATATTGTCTTGTGAAACAGTCAACTAGTAGCACTCAGGTTTATGGATTAGGCCAGACGATGCTTCCTTTCTCCAACTCAGAAGCCTCCTATGAAACCTCCTCCCAATCCTCTTCAAATTTCCGCTCTTTATAACAATGCTCCGCACACTCTTTTTTTTCCACTCAACTCCATATACCCTCCAGCTTTGAATTCTTGAAATATTTGAAATTAAATTCCCTTCCGCCCGTCTTTACAAATAATTATATTACAGTATATATCTTGTTTCACTAAATTAAATATCAAAAAATGGCCTTACCACAAGAGAATTGCACTACACTTGATTTAATTAGGCAACATCTTCTTGATGATAATGTTTTCATGGAACATTATTGTCCCCAACCAATTCTTTATTCTCAAAGCTCCTCCTCTTCTGAATCTTTAAACTCCATTGCTTCTGAGCTCAATAACGACACTTTCTCCTTTGAACCAACTCTCAACTATGCCGACACAGCCCAAAGTTCCAATCTTGATATCTCAACCTTCTTTAACAATTCAAAAACAGAGTTTGACTGCTTTGAGTTTGAGACAAAACCAAACGTGTTAGCTGCTCGTATTAGTCCAAATTCTCCGAAGCAAACAAGCTTCAAAGAACGCAAGCCTTCTCTAAATATTGCTATACCCCTGAAGCATCAAGAGGTTGTTCAGAAAGTGGAAAAATCCAATGAGAGCGAGAAGAAGCATTACAGAGGAGTTAGGCAAAGGCCGTGGGGCAAGTTCGCGGCAGAGATTCGTGACCCGAACCGAAAGGGGACTCGGGTTTGGTTAGGAACCTTTGACACTGCCTTAGAGGCGGCTAAGGCATATGACAGGGCGGCGTTTGAGCTTAGAGGCAGCAAAGCTATAGTGAATTTCCCTCTCGAAGTTGCAAACTTTAAGCAAGAATTTAATAATGAGATTCGGCCATTGGTGAACTCAAGCAGGAAAAGGGTGAGAGAAACAGTGAATGAGGAGCAACTAGTTATCAATAAGGAAATGAAAATAGAAGAAGAAAGAGTCCCGACGGCTCCATTAACGCCGTCAATTTGGTCGGCAATTTGGGACAGTGGAGATGGGAAGGGTATTTTTGAAGTGCCGCCATTATCTCCACATATGGCCTATTCTCAGCTTGTCATGATATAATCAATAATGGATAAGGAGTATATAATTTGGGATGTTAGTATTTGGAAGATGATGAATATATAAATATGCACCTGACTATGAAGAAAGTCTGAGGTGAAATCAAGAATTAAGATGAGATTCAATAGGAAGATGTAGAACAATAAAATAGTCCATGGATGTGTCTTTGGGTCTTTAATCTTTTCTGATTTTATTGATTTAGCGTTATTTCATGTAAATACGCAGTGAGTTTAACAATTTGTTCGATTCATTTTATGAAGTTATTCAATTAAAGCCAATTTGGAAGACTTACAAATTTCTACTCGCGAAAATAGATCTTTCTGAACCACGACTTCAATTACTAGTTGATAGTAATGTTAATAGTCCTGTGTGGAAACACAAGATTAGGAAGAAAATAAAAATAAAAAAACTGTTAGAAGGAAAAACTGGAACAAAAAACAGTAAACAATAAGAAATATTTCGAGTCCACAATTTTCTTGTGCGTCCTTAAGGAATTTTAACCCCCTCACACGTTGCCAAGGTAATGGATTAAATCTTCTCAGGATAAAACGGAATAAACCTTCCTGCAACAGTGGCAATACAAACTACAGGATACCAACAAACTCAAAGAACGGAGTAAAATCACACTTACGAATTTGAGAGAGAGAAACTGCGAATTAGGATGCAGTGTATTCAGAAAGAAAGAAGTTCTGCAGTGTTTTTCGTATATAGAAAATGGAGCCTTGCCTCAGAATTTATAGGCAATTATCAGAAGAAGTGTCTGGAAAAGGTGTCTTTTCAGAAGAATACGCTGCCTATTGCGGTTCTACCGCGACCGCGGTAGAACCCCGGTCAGAGAGGCTCTCTGAATCTGCCTGCCGCGGTTCCACCGCGGTCGCGGTAGAACCGCGGCCAGAGAGACTCTCTGAATCTTCAGTAGGATTCTGACGTATTTTCAGCGATGATTTGGCATTTAATTAATAATTAAATAAATTTTGTCCAAAAAATAATCTTATTGATCATTTTCCAAATCCAAATCCAAAGCCGAGCGAGCGACGACGACGACAGCGCGAATGTTCATTCTCTTCAACTCCTTTTAAGAGCTTTAAGAAGTGATTATATATATAAGCACACAAATGTGGTTGTCCCTCACCAATGAGGGACAAAGTGCAAGACAAAAGTTCACTTCTTCAAATTTTTCATTTTCCCTCCATTTTATTTCCCTCCATTTCCAATTCACACTTCTTCTACTTTAAAGCCCAATGGCTTAAAGTCCAACAATCCCCCAATGGCTTAGGAGCCAAAGGCTTTGGCCAGAACGGAATGTCTTCTAAGAAATTTCGAAGCCATTCAGCTTCTTCACCGGCTTTATCCAAAGCTATAAACTCTGATTCCATTGTAGAACGAGCGATATACGTTTGTTTGGAAGATTTCCAAGATACTGCTCCTCCACCAACAGTAAAAACATATCCACTTGTGGACTTTGTTTCTGTTGAGCCGGCTATCCAATTTGCATCACTATATCCTTCGATAACCGCAGGGTATTTATTGTAGTGCAAAGCGTAGTCTTGGGTATACTCCAAGTATCCCAGAACTCGTTTCATTGCCACCCAGTGATGTTTGTTGGGATTACTTGTGAATCGACTAAGTTTACTTATTGCACAAGCTATATCAGGTCGTGTACAGTTCATGATGTACATTAAGCTTCCCAACACATGAGCATACTCCAATTGAGACGTACTTTCACCTTTATTCTTTATAAGATGATGGTTCAAGTCAATTGGAGTTCTTGCACTTCTAAATTCCAAGTGTTTGAATTTTTCCAGTACCATTTTCACGTAATGTGACTGAGACAAAGCTAGACCTTGAGGAGTCCTCTGGATTTTAATTCCTAGAATTACATCGGCAACTCCTAAGTCTTTCATATCAAACTTACTAGCAAGCATACGTTTAGTAGCTTGAATGTCGGCAATGTCTTTGCTCATTATTAGCATATCATCAACATATAAGCAAACAATGACTATATGATTTGGAACGTTCTTAATGTAAACACATTTATCACATTCATTAATTTTAAAACCATTTGACAACATTGTTTGGTCAAATTTCGCATGACATTGCTTGGGTGCTTGTTTTAGTCCATAAAGGGACTTGACAAGTCTACACACCTTCTTTTCTTTTCCCGAAACCACAAACCCTTCAGGTTGGTTCATGTAAATTTCTTCCTCAATATCACCATTTAAGAATGTTATTTTTACATCCATTTGATGGATTTGAAGACCATACAAGGCGGCTAACGCTATAGCATTCGAATGGATGTAATTCTTGTTACCGGCGAGTATGTGTCAAAATAGTCAAGACCTTCTCGTTGTCTAAATCCTTTGACAACAAGTCTTGCCTTGTATTTGTCAATAGTACCATCGTCCTTCATTTTCTTCTTGAAAATCCATTTAGAACCCAACGTTTTGTTACCTGGAGGAAGATCAACCAATTC